GCAGCTTTTATTTTTTCAGCTAAGTTTTGGCCGAATAATAAGTCATCGACTGGAGTTCCCTGAATAACCTCTTTGATAGAGGTATTTAGTGAGCTCGTTACTAAGTGTCTTCTATTTAGAGACAAATTATGGTGAACATCAGTTAAGAGTTTTGCTCCATCGCTCAACCGAGAGATTAGCTGGTTTTTTGCATCCAGGCTATTACTGTCAGTCAAAAGACTTGAAAGGCCCTTACCTATGGCCGAAATGCCATGGCCCAGCATGGCTTGAGTTATCTCGAGGAATTTGTCCTTTTTAATTGTAATTGATGGGACTGCTTTCTTTATTTCAAGATTAATAGCTGGTGACTTTAAGGTTGGAATATTATTTGGGATTGGGTATTTTTCCTTCAAGGCTTCCCGCTCCTCCTTACCAAGTCCACCACTTAGAATTTCCTCCCATCGCTTTTTTAACACAACATGAGCCTCATACCCATGTTTATTGACGTTTTTCTGCTCCCCCAAGGCTTTTAGAATGTCGTCGTCCAAATTAACGTCCTCTGTAAGAACTAACGCCTCTGGTGACCTGGGTGACCCTTGCAAATTCGCTAGGTCTATCAGGTTTTCCTGATCTTCTCCTGTTTCCCTTTCCAAGGGCACAGGAGGGCTACGAGGTGAGTGTCGAGGTCTTGATCTGGTCGTAGACTCAGATCGGCTAGTTGAACTGAGTCGAGCTGAAGTTGAACCCTCATAGCGATCGAGTCTCTTTTTGAGTAACTCGAGCTCTTTCACAACATAGGAATCTCTTCCTCGATTTCCATTGTAAGAATAAGAGGCATAAGAGCGTCTAGACTTCGATTCTCTAGAACCTTCGGAAATCCGAGATCGAGATCGAGAAGGAGAAACAAAATGGCGGTTCTTATGAGGAGAATGCCCATGCCGAGACCGAGATCTGTTTCGAGAACAGCCCGGCGAGCGATCAGCTGGCGATCTTTTCCTTTTCCCCATCGGGCTAAGGAAGCTGAGAAGTAGTCATTATTCCATCATCCCATCAAAAATCTCGCCTCTCTATATGGCCAAAAATACTGAGCATGACCCACCATATTGGAGAGGTCAAGTTTGGGTCAATATCAATTTTCTGAATTTTCTAGTCACCAAACTTCTGTGGCACCATGGGCATAGTGAAGGGCCATATCAAGATCAAGCGAATCGATTATATCAATAATTGAGTTTGAACATTATTAATAATGTTGTGGCCGGCGAGCGATCAGCTGGCGATCTTTTCCTTTTCCCCATCGGGCTAAGGAAGCTAAAAAACACAAAATAGATTATTTATAACGATGAAATTTACCTTAAACTAGCCAAAAAGGGATTTTGTAAATTTTTCGTGACGCCTTCGGCTGCACAAAAAAGCAAGATGACTCTACCGGTTTAACAGGGTCCTGTAGTCGGTAAGGGCAATGATTGACATTTTGAGTTCTTTGAAATTTGTGACTCCCTCTAGTACAAAAAGCAGTACTACATAGTAAGATAACGCAGTGATCTTGAGGACGAGGTGCGTAATATAATTTCAGCAAATGTGTCCGGGCCGCATAGTGTTCGATAAAACGAACACAATCAAAACATCAGTTTTTTCAATGTCAAAATAATAACTATAGTATATTGTTGTATTAGGAGTAGAAGCTTCACTTTTTTGTGCTGAAGCAGTAGGTTTGCGAGCCGAACGTAGTGAGGCTTGCAATACTGCTGAAGCACAAAAAAGTGCTTCTACTCCGTATGCAACACGCTATTTTTTCTCCAAACGAATGGGGTAACTGAATGGTTAAGCGGCAGTAAAAGTACGAGCGGCACTAAAAGTACTTTTGCTGCCGCTCCAGCGGCACTAAAAGTACTTCTACTGCCGCTGCGGTTGCCTAGCAGCATAGAAATTAAATTTCTACCACCTCGACTACAGTGGCTCCTCGACAGGTATTAACCCGCTGAATTTGCCTACCAACATCTTGACAGGTGCTGACAAAGTGACGTTTTTTTGACGTTTGGAGAAAATGATATTTATAATATTGGAAACAGTACCTAAATATATGATCTTATGCATGCTTGACACAAATATTGTTGATATATTATCAACAATAAAAATAAAAAAAATTTAAACACTTGAGGCGATTTTCAGCCTGGAATCATTATTTATCGGTAAATACCGTGGTTATTCTTTTGGTTGACAACTTTGACAGCCAAGTGTGACGTCATAGCCCCCCACCATTCAAGAATCATAACCCAAGGAACTAATCGCTGAAATGATTTGGTTATAGCAGTGTAGAAATATGTTTATTATTCTTATTTGTTTTTTCGTTTCAGCAACAGATTTTTGTTCAGGTACAAAAAATGGAGCTGAATCTCTCGTTAGTCTCGTTTATCGAACAGATTTTCTTTGGGGATGATCTAAACCTCGATCTAAACATGGTGAATTGCAGTGAGTGAGTGAATGTATACTTCTTTCATTGGGCCAGGCTACAACGCAACTGCAAAATCACAAAACACCAATACAAATTCCAAAAATAATAACAATAACATCAAAAAGCTGTAACCAAAAGATTAACTCAAGTCCAAAGCTGGGTTATAATCGGTTATAAATGGTAAATACCAAAAGCAAATCAGCTGATATGTGACGTCACAACTTCCCCTACTTTGGTTAAAACCGCGACGGCGGAAATGCATTGGTTATAACCAAATAATAATCATTCCAGGCTGAAAATCGCCTTTACCCGCCCCGTCGAGAATTGTATAAACTCGGATCCATAACAATCAAAAATCTAAATAACTCAATCTAAGGCGATTTTCAGCCTGGAATGATTATTATTTGGTTATAACCAATGCATTTCCGCCATCGCGGTTTTAACCAAAGTAGGGGAAGTTGTGACGTCACATATCAGCTGATTTGCTTTTGGTATTTACCACTTATAACCGATTATAACCCAGCTTTGGACTTGGGTTAATCTTTTGGTTACAGCTTTTTGATGTTATTGTTATTATTTTTGGAATTTGTATTGGTGTTTTGTGATTTTGCAGTTGCGTTGTAGCCTGGCCCAATGAAAGAAGTATACATTCACTCACTCACTGCAATTCACCATGTTTAGATCGAGGTTTAGATCATCCCCAAAGAAAATCTGTTCGATAAACGAGACTAACGAGAGATTCAGCTCCATTTTTTTGTACCTAAACAAAAAACTATTGTTGAAATGTAAAAATAAAAAAGAATAATAAACATAATCCTACACTGCTATAACCAAAGCATTTCAGCGGTCAGTTCCTTCGTTCCTTGGGTTATGATTCTTGGATGGTGGGGGGCTATGACGTCACACTTGGCTGTCAAAGTTGTCAACCAAAAGAATAACCACGGTATTTACCGATAAATAATCATTCCAGGCTGAAAATCGCCTCTAATTAGTTCGGGATCGGCTCAAATGCTCCAAACACTCTGTTCACACTCAAATGACACTTCTAAGCCATGACGAGTCGCCAGTTAACACAGGCGTCTTTTTTACCGGCCAAAAATGGCGCGTTCGATTAAACGAACGTTATGCACTAATGGGTTAATTGAAAACGTCAATTGTTGTGTTAGTTATTAAAGTAATTAGTGTCAGAGTGTATTGTTACGTGGAATAAATTATTACTGTGTTAATTGGACTTTGATTTTTGGAATAAACGAAACAACGAAACGAACCCAAGATTTCTGTCAGGCAATCCAAAAGCCGTGACAATAATTATAAACTCGCAAGGAGAGTTTATCGATATTTTCTTATATTATATTAGACACGTTAAGCATGTCCTGAATTTCAAACGTATCCGTATCCGCATCGATCTGCGCTTGCGCTAACTAGATACGGTGGTGGCGAGGCCCGTAACGATACGCACAACGCAACGAAACCACCGTATCTATTCAGCGCATGCGCAGATCGATGCGGATACGGATACGTTTTGAATTCAGGACCTGCTTAAAGTGTCTAATACGGACAACGCAACGCAACGAAACCTCCGTATATATTCTCCGCATGCGCAGATCGATGCGGATACGGATACGTTTGAAATTCAGGACTTCGGTAAAAATAAAGTGTCTATTGATGAAGAAGAAATTTTGAAAGAATCTCGTATCGATACCCCTATGAATATCGATAAAACCTTCTTTACTACATATCGTATGGGAGTGTTGCTATCAAAAAACAATATTTTGTTGCTACAAAAACTTTATATTTAATTTAATTTGAAATATTTGAATACGGTTTTCACTATAGAAACTTTTAAATTCAAAAAGTTTCAAAACTTAATCCAAATATAAGATACAAACCTTGCGTTCGGTATTTTGCTCGAAGAGCAGAGCGTGCAGAGCGGAGCCGTAACCACGTGACCAGCGAGCGAACAGAGCAGTTGAACGCTGTATAAAAGCGCCAGAAATTTTAATAAACGAACGCGAATGAGGATACACCGAGTACACTTTTTGAATAAACGAACGGTAAAGTCAAGCTCGGAGAACTCAGACCAAAATAACGAACGCACGGAAAATTATAAATACAAGTCAATTTTTTTTCTTTAGGTTGGTACTATAGCAATATTTGACACAATTCATTCACAGCTGTTGTTTTCATTCATCTTTGACATCTTTTGACATATCCTTTACTACCTACTACAAATGAAATGAAAAATAAAGTTCAATTTTGATTTTGTGATTGCTTTTGCAACAAATTATTCATAAACAATATTTCTAATTAGACCAATTACATTGCTCCTTTGTTCTTTAATAATTTCAACGTAATTAATTTCAAAGTTCCACAAATTGTTTTGTTTGTTGTGCGCAGTTTATAAGGTGAAGGTTGTATTATAGTTCCTGACTTTATTAATTAATATGACTAATATTGTCTTTTGCTAATTTATTAAATTAATTGAAAATTACAAAGCAATGTGACAGTGAAAATAAGTAGTGAACAAAAAAAATCCCAGATTTTAATCTTCCTGAGGCCAAAATCAAAGATGACAATGTTTTTAGCAGCCTTGGCAGTGCTCGGTTTGCACTATTGCCAAGCAGAAATTTACGCCATAAGATATGTGAGTATGCATTGAGTTTCTGATTCCAACAATTCTGAGTTTTACTTTGAAGAATTCACTGATTTTGTTGTTTCCTTTTGCAGAATTCTGAGTTTTACTTTGAAGAATTCACTGATGCGCCAGCTACGTTTGGTCCGGATCTTTCTGAGGGATGTAAGTACTTTTTGAATCTTAATTTGAGCTGCTCAGAATGAATCAATGTTGATTTACTTACTGAGTCATTGAGTTTAAAACAGTCATAAGCAAAATTTTGGAATTCCAAATGCAATTTATTCTCATTTTATATTAAAATGTTTTTGAAGAAAATTTCAATGTCTTATTACAGCAATAAATCAGATTAAATACTTTTAAAATAGCTGAACAACAATAATTTATTTAAAGGCAACTGTGTATTGTAAACAAGGTAGTAAATCATTATCAGTTATTTTATTAAGTATATCTATCACTGCATTATAATAATCATGTGTCTTCAAAGGATATTAATTTAATTGATTAATAATTATCAGGCTTGAAGCTATAATTTATGTAATTGATAATTTATCAATTGAATTTTACAGGAATTGATTTTATTGTATTGTACCTAATGATAATGCTATTATAATTGCACTACAATAGTGTCTTGATGATTAGATGATCTGTATCAATAGACAACAAGAACCGTGTCAATTCAAGCTACTGGAAATAAGATGGATTATCCTATCCTACTAGGTTCCTATAGTCTTCGCTCAAAAATGGTCTATAATAACCATATGCGCCGGCTTTCTGAAATCTGTACGGGTGCTTAGCCAAAGGCGGCATGAAATAGCTAAGGGTTTATTTTTGGTGCAACTTCCAAATAGTATATATTTCCTAACTAGTGCGGAAAGTGTCATTTTTCCGCTCGCGATTGCAGCAAGCAATTGAGTGCGGAAAAGTAGTAATTCCATATTTCATGACCTGAATGCTTGTGGTCGCGGAAAAGTGGGATTTCTGGAACGCCCGTAGAAAGCTTTCGAACCCTTCTTAAACTACTCACCCAAAAATCTACAGAAAAATGTTCTTCATCAAATTATTCAATTACCCTACAACCTCGATAATCCGACCATGCGTTAATCCGAACCTCCGCTAATCCGAACAGCAAACGCCCGAAAGCATAATCCAAACAAATCTTGATAATCCGAACAACTGCTGGAAATCGCATTACGCTACGAGCGCTACATAAAATTTAATACGTAATAATGTTCTCAGAAGATCAGAAGAATCCGAAGAAGAATCTGAAGAAATCGAACCGACCAACGTGACTCACAGAGAAAAAGTAAAATGTTTTCAGACTTGTTTAAAATGAGCAGAAAAAAATTCTGAAACAGCTGAGGACATTTTTATTCTAAAGCTCGGTTTATTCATCTTCCTGGTACCTAACTATCTGCAAGATAAATTTATCGTTTTATAATTCTATTGGTCGGCGGATAACTGGCCGACCAATGGGATGACAGATTGCCTTTTTATCCGTCAGATTGCATACCTGACAACTTATCAGAAGGTGAATAAACCGGCACTCAAAGAAATGAAAAATAAGGCGGAAATGGGAGAAGCAGCCAATATGAAGTAAAAAAAAAAGTACATTAAATAATTGTTTTACTCCACTAACCTAAGTTAAACTCAGAGTTAGTTACGTACATTTATATTTGTCTTGAAAAATAAAGATTATTTTTGATTATTTGCATATTTAAGATAAATTTACCACGCATTTTGATAATCCGAACAAATCGGTAATCCGAACTGACCTTGGCAATAATTAGTTCGGATTTTCGAGGTTGTCCTGTAATACCTACCTATCAACCTTAGAAAAATGTCCACAGAATATGTTATACTTGACTAAGACTGGGATTCCCAGCAATGCAAAGTGCAAAACAGAACAGCGCACCCATGGCCGCCATTCAACAGCCACTCGACAGTTCAATGCGACTGGCTGATTGGACCTCTTGGATCAGACCCAAGGATTATACACTACACAGGTTTGCTCATCTGTCGGTATTTTTCGTATCAAGGTCATGATAGGCGTTTTTAGAAACGTTGTTCCGATTAATCCGATCACCAACTGATGTAAAATGTCTTTTTTCAATAGCGTTCATTGGTTTCGGGTTAATCGGAACACGGCGGTCTGATATTTTGACGATAATGGAGAGTGATTTGAAAAACGCGTCACGGGCAAATTTCGTTCGCCGATACCCTTGTGACGTCACTACAGATGCGCGTCTCCTTTTTGTTGTTTTCTGATTATTTTCGTTATTTATACATTTGTGTCCTGTGCTTTTTTGAGTGAAACTTCTTAGGCAACGGTCTGATATTTGGACGACAAAATGAGAGTGATTTGAAAGATGTGTCACGTTTTGGCGAATTTCGTTACACGAGACAGAAGAAAAATATAACGTAGAGGGACGGAGAAAGGCAGGCAATGACAATGACAGCCGACGAACGATTGGCACAAACCAAGGATTATAAACTATTATTGTCAAGCGCCGATACTCTCGTGACATCACCACAAATGTACGTTTTCCTTCGTCTTTACCCTGACTCATAACGTCAAGTCTGAAAATCGTATGAGGGGGGATAGTTTTCAAGAAGTTTAACTTCTACCACATGTACGGCGCTGTGAATGACGGCGCTGCACATGTTTTCATGGTTTTTGTTTGATTTTTTCATAACCTTAACTAGGGATATTATACAATATATTCAGTATGGGTGCTTGCGCACCCACAGCACCCATGGAGTCGGCGCCTATGATAATAACCTCAATAATAACCAAAAGTTAATAGTCAAGAACAAAATATTCTCAATTCATTTGGTAATTTTTTTTTTCACTGTATACTCGTCAAGTTCTTCATTTGATCACATGTTAACAGAAATTTACTTTAACAATATTATTAATTAACACTCAATTAGCAGTCAGAGCATTTTTGAAGCAGTAATTAGCCTCTCTGATTGGATTGGTTCAAGTTAATTTTAAAGAAATGTCTGTATACCTCGCTCTATGCCTTTAACCGTTCCCAAGTTAGCAATGCTGTCCTTATGAAATAGTTGGGTATACACTTACCAAACCAATCATCATTTTATTTAATAATTCTATGATTGGTTCAGAAAACCCAGAGCTGTAGAAACAAAGCTTTTTAGTACCGATTTTTAGAGTGGTGATAAACAAAACATCTTAGAACAGGTAAAGCGCTGTCCTTCGGACATAAGGAGTAGGAATGCGCCATTCTGCTATAGAACTAAAAGTGAAGCCAGTTTTTATCAGGTATTTGTACACCAAATGACAGGTAAAGCATTGAATTGGCTATACCGCCAATGTTTTGGATTCCAAAATACCTGGAAAAAAAAGCTTCATTTTTCCACTCTATGTTCCTACAGGTCATTGGTTCCTACTCATTTCACCTAGGAAATTATCTGCTCTAGAGAGTGTTGATTATGGTTTGCTTTTTGAGAAATTTAATGGTTTCTAGTTCCTTTGCTGGTAAAGTACAAAAAGTTAAGTACAAAAAAAAATTTGAAATTTCATCATTTTAATAAGAAGGTACCCCCCTTATGATTTTTTCGGAAAACTTTCAAAGGTCGTAACTTTTTTTCTATTATAGATAGAAAGCTGAATCTTTCACTGAATTTTATCCCTTTCAGAGGACTACAATTCCTGAAAATTTCAGCTCATTTGCACTTATAGTTCCTGAGATAAAATCGTGTTAAGCAATTGGGGTGATTTATCAATTTTTCAATTTTTCTGAGTGCCTTTTTCCATAGATTTCGGCTTCAAATCTGAGAATAATTTTGTGTATGGAGTTCAGGGTATCACGAGGGACCATTTAGACACAAAATATTAACAAAAGAAAATTTGAAATTTCATCGTTTTAGGAAGAAGGTAAAGTTTGTTTCGCCAGGGTTTGTACTTGCCACCAGCATTTGCCTTCCTTGTTTAACAAATAAAAATTGACTGAAACAAATCAATGACGTCAAAAACGTTCGTCGGTTCCTAAACCAAAAGTCCTTCATTTTAACTTGTCAAAAATATTGAATGTGTCCCTTTTTTTTCAAGTTTCAAGGTCAAGTATAAACCCTGGTGAAACGGACCTTAGCTATCTCGCTTTAAACTCATTTAATGATCTACAGCGAGAGGTAGGTCACTCCCCAATTAGGTGTACAAGTCTTGAAATGTAATTGGAAAAATACATTTAATTACCTCAATTACCTTGCAATTACGTTCAATTACATTTAATTAGAATTAATAACATTTAATTACATTCAATTACACCCAATTACCTTCAATTACGTTCAAATTTCGCTCAAATACATTTAATTAATTACATTCAATTACAAACAAATACATTTAATTACACACAAATACATTCAAATACAAAAAAATAAATGTATTTGAATGTATTTGTAATTAGGTGTACAAATTCTAACCAGTGACCTACCCCTCGATCTACAGTTTCTCACCGTTTACTTGTCAATATATCGCATGTTTCATGTTTTACCTCAGAACTTTGTTGTCACGTCTATTGTATTTTGAGGCAGAAGTTCAACGATTTTTAATTGGATTTAAATTGATTTACAGGTGATTTATCTTGATTTTTTGGAGATTTCTCTTGATTTTTAGAGATTTATCCTGATTTAACTACATTATTAGTGAATTATTGCGATTTAAAAAGATTTTTACTGATTTATGTTGATTTTTTTTTTTGAATTAAGAAAACAAGCTGATCTATCGACTTCTAGATTTCATTTGATTTACGCCAGGTCTTTATACCGATTTTGCTTGAGTTATCTCCTCCTCGAAAGATCCTTTCCTAGATGTATATATTTTTGATTCAATATTGCATTTAAAACTACAAAATGGTTTAAATTATTTGTTATTGTGATGAGATGAAATAGGTGTTAATCAACAAAAGATATCTTGGAATTGGAATCAATTAAGTGGTCTTATCAAGTTCCTCTGACGTCTGTTTATTATAATATTTATTTTGAAAAATCTGGTTAATTAACTTCTACTATACCTAATTCAACAATCATAAAGATGGGAACTTGACGATATATTTTGAAAATTTCATCATCCACTAACAAAAACATTGACCTTTAGCACATTATCAAAAATCAATTTGCTAAAATATTATCATAGTCTAGTCCGTATTATTGTTTGTAGTTCAATCTTTAAATAATAGTAAAGTAATTATGGAGAAACGAGCAAAATTAATTTTGGATATACAACAACTTTCTTTTCAGCTGTCCGTGGTATGCTGATTAATGCCACTCCCCCTAGCGCGTGCGATGACAAACTAAAACCAGCACCTCCTTATGACGACAACCTTTTGGAAAAATGGATTTTGATGGTACCCCGTTATACTCCTGACATAAACTGCACGTTCGAGCAGAAAGTGCGCATGGCACAACTCAGAGGGTGAGAATTTTCCATCAAAAGAAAACTTCCACTTAATTAGTATCTTCTAGGTACAATGCTGTCATAATCTATAATGTAGGCTCCAATGATTTGGTGCCAATGTCAGCTAAAAACAGCACGGGAATTAAAATACCCTCTGTGTTTGTTAGTCAGTCTTCCGGTTTGATGCTGAAAAACGTTTACACTGACCCCAATTATTTTATTGTAATCACTGCAGAGACCCCGTTCAATATACAAACACATCTATTGATACCTTTTGCCATCGTTGTAGGCATCTGTTTTCTTGTAATGCTAGTTTTCATGGTGAGAATTATTGTTTAGGTTGGTATTGTTGAGTTTAGTTAAATTATCTGTGTAGGTTGTCAAGTTTATAAAAGACCGAAGACGGCAAAGACGTCACCGATTGCCAAAATCTCAACTAAACAAAATCCCCACTTGTAAATTCCAAAAAGGGGACAGATATGAGACTTGCGCTATTTGTCTGGAGGATTATACTGAAGGGGAGAAGCTTAGGGTTTTGCCTTGCAATCACAGTAAGTTTACTAAATTGAAGAAATCCTCAACTATACTTTGTCGTATTTAGTGTATCACATGAAATGTATCGACCCATGGCTGACGAAGAACAAACGTGTCTGTCCCATATGCAAAAGAAAAGTTTTTGCGCATAACGAACCGCATCCAGATAGCGATAGTGATACTGACACTGATGACACTACCCCTTTGATTAGATCTGGTGCCACTAGGGGGACTCAAGGAGGCACTTTTGAAGTACAAATTTCAAATTTTTGACGCAGGCATTATTCAAAAACAAATTTCAGGTCCAAAACGAAAGCAGAAGCAGAATGGTTAGAGCTGCTCGCTCAATATCTCAACTGTTTGACGGCCGTAGTCACTTTTTGGCCGCCTCTGATCATCACAGCATCAACGCTCAACAGGAAGAGAGGCGAAGCGTGGAAAATTCTTCCACCAGTGGTAGGTTGCACGAAATAATTGAATTTCAGAAAAATAATGATTTATTTACCTAGACACTAACAGCAGTAGCAGCAGTCAAAATGAACCGGTTCACGTGATTGATGAAGTCTCGTTTATAATTCATAATTCGGACCGACACGATGATAGCAATGATCATGAATCACACAGCAATAATCATGATACACACAACAATGATCATTATGAATCAATAGACACTGACCTACAAGAATTGCCAAATAATTGTGATCACGGGAGTCACGATGACGTTGTAGCTTGAGTTTGAGTGTAGGTTTGTAAAGTGGTTGGAATCTAGTCTGGAGAAGAAAAAAAAATCGTGCACACCCTGTAGATATTTAGATGGCAAATAATTTTGACATTGACAGATAAATAATGTATTAAACTTCATTTTTGTCAACTGATTCAAATCCACTGATTGCGGTTTTTTTACATTTTGTTGCCTGACATGCTTTTAGCTCTGTTCTCATAAGAGATAATCGCTCAGCTAAGTTACAAAATGTTGGAACAACGCCATTGAAAACATGTATGACAGTTTTCAAACTATCAGAGACTCTTGTGAGAACATGCCTTTTTATGTTGAGGGAGTTTGAAGTATTTTACATGCAACTAAACTGCTGGACAAATGAAACGGAACAAGGGAATTTTTAGTTCAACTTTGGATTCCAATATTACGCGAACCAGAGAAGAAATCAATGAGCGATTTGCGTAATTTAAAAGATAATTTCCCAAACCGCTCATTGATATCTTCCTAAGTTCGCGTAATATTGGAATTTAAAGCTAACCTAAACATTCGCTTGTTCCGTTTCATTTGTCCAGCAGTTTATTAAGCCAATCTGTGTGAAAAGGTGACATTGAAAAAATTACCAAAAAAGATTTGCAAAATTGAAACAAAATCTTAAAGTTGCATCTTTCTGGACAATTGGATTGAAATTTTCTTCCTTATTACTTCAAACCTACTTCCATTGACATCATTTTAATTTGCTGTATCATTTGGAATCTTGATAGCAAAAATTGACATCGGTGTATCCCCTCCAATTAGGAGGGGTTTAGAGGAGAAGGCTGATATTGTTTACACCTCTAATGTATCCCCACCATGACCTCTCTCGAGCAGTTCACCTCTCCTGGCCAATGAGGCACCTTGTGTCATCACAACAAGCATCAGTTTACGAATCCGATGCGGTGTCTACAGAGATAGGTGTCTAACTGTGTTGAGATGTCGATGTTTGGTATTACATGCATTGTGATTGACATTTGACTTTTTGTTTGTGACATTTGACATTTAAACCTTTGTCAAATATGTCATGTTAAGCCTCGTTCTCAGAAATATGTAGTGTCACGAGCGACACATTGGTAATCAATTAGAATCAAGCTGTCAATTGAATGCTCGATTCCTATTGGTTACTGGGGTGTTGCTAGTGACACTAGATAGATAGTTTCTTAGTAAATAATTCAGACCTACTTCTATTCACATCATTACCTTGCTAGGAATAATTGACATCTTATTGGTAGTATGTAGGCAAGGTTCGTAAAGTTAATAGGATGTCTGGTGATTGTAAACAGATGACGTCATCAGCAGGACCTAATGGATATTTTCATTATGTTTAGGCACCCCAGATGATGTCAAAAAATTTATTAAGCAACCTACCTCTTTGAAACAACCTTGGTATGTGAATATAAATGGTATTGTGATGACATTGAGGTTTGTGACATTTGACACTAAAACCTTTGTTTGAGCGTCAAATGTCATAAGAGCCCATTATAAGGTCTGTTCGCAGAGGAATCACAAACCAGTTGGAGCGAATTTCATTGATTGAAATCAGTCAGAAAACTAGTTTCAACTAATGAAATTTACTCTGACTGGTTTGTGATTTCTGTATGAACAGACCTATATTGTCCGTCGTTTTCTGACACTTTCCGTATAAGGAGCGAGGGGGTGGAGCATAATATAATGTGACGTCAGGTTACCAGGCATTGGCGTTCTAACCATTGGTTCTAACCAATGTTTTTCTATTTACATCAATATCTTGATAGAAATAATTGACATCTTATTGGTAGTAGGTATAATTCCTCCCTCTCTTTTTTTCATCAATGTATCCAACGTTATGGGACAGTCATTCCGATTTTCTATGAACTAGACAAAGATAGGCTGTACAGGGTGGGCCAATTTGGACACTTTCTTATGGAAACACCCTTTATTTTTAGAGATAGAAAAAAATGAACCCCCCACTCTGAGGCTCAAATTTCATGAAATTTTGATTGGTGCAAACCGCATTTTGATATCTTCAACCGTTTAGCCGCTAGAGGGCGATTCTCGATTTTGAGCAATACTGTGAAACCTTCATAACTTTTTTATTTATGAAAATAATTCATTTCTGTAAAGACTTTCTGGAAGCACTTTTTTGAGTGGAATTCAGTGACGTTCACAGCTTTTTTCTATTTGGCTCCGATTCCGAGATATTGACCAAAATCCGATTTTTTTCAATAGGACATCCTATATATTAATAGCTCATTGAAAAGCTTTGCTTTTGCTGATTTCAATTATATAAAATTCGATAGGTTTATCTCCAACGGTTTCCGAGAAAAAAATTATTTTGATTTTTGTCATAAGACATAATGTTTTTATATCTGTAAGGAAAACGAGAAAGGTCTCTTTCTAACACATTGTTTCTTATGACAAAAACAGAAATAATTTTTTTCTCAAAAACTGTTAGGGATAAACCTATTGAACTTTATATCATTGAAATCAGCAAAAGCAGAGCTTTCCAATAAACTATTAATATACAGGGTGTTCTATTGAAAAAAATCGGATTTTGGTCAATATCTCGAAATCCGAGTCAATTAGAAAAAAACTGAGAACGTCACTGAATTCCTCTTAAAAAAGTGCTCTTAGAAAGTCTTTACGGAAATCAATTATTTTCATAAACAAAAAAGTTATGAAGGTTTCACAGTATTGCTCAAAATCGAGAATCGCCCTCTAGCGGCTAAACGGTTGAAGATATCAAAATGCGGTTTGCACCAATCAAAATTTCATAAAATTTGAGCCTCAGAGTGGGGGGTTCATTTTTTTCTATCTCTAAAAATAAAGGGTGTTTCCATAAGAAAGTGTCCAATTTGGACCACCCTGTACATCGGTATTGTGACGACATTGTGGTTTGTGACATTTGACACTAAAAACCTTTGTTTGAACGTCAAATGTCATCAAACCAATATAACTTTTGACTTTTGGTGTATAAAGTTTCTACAATGGCTGGGTTCGGTAATTGCATCTGCGAGCCAAATGAGCAAAATTTGACAGATGTCACGTGATTTGACACGTGAAAAAAGCTAAGTAATCTCGTGTCGTTTGTCAAAATTTGTCCTTTTTACTCGCAATTGCAAGTTGCAATTACCGAACCCAGCTAATGTTTCTACTAAAAATAAAAATATTGATGGAAGAGTTAGTTATGGAACTGGAATAAATTAATAGAAAAAAGACAAGATATTGCAGATTTCTCTAATTATCTGTCAAATATTGTCTCAAATATTCCAAACCTTAGAGCAGAGCTTAGATAGAAACGGTCTAATGCATAGGTACCTACCTGATAGGTAGTATGCCATTTTTGTCTAGGAAAAATTTGTTTTCTAATGCGCATGTGTCAATAGTTAATAATGAAATTATTCCACAAATAAGCATCAATTTTAAGCAGCTGATATTATAGGGTTTCCGATAAGACTTTAGCTTATTGATCAAAGAAACAAGAAACAAGAAACCACCAGAAAAACAAAAAGTCAATCTGACGCTTACTAGCCTCAACTTGATATGACAACACTGTACAAGATGCATATTACAAAATGTCAACCGCCGGCCAATAAGAATCTAGCATCCCTGCGTTTTTTTTTTCTCATCAAATTTTACTGATGGATCCACCATTCTATATAGGTCATTGTCATTTTCCATTCACTAAACAAAGATAGCTAACTTATCAGTGAAGTCACCGATTAGATTAAAAACGAGGGGCATTTAACGAAAATTGAAATCCCCTTAGGTCCTCTTGATGACGTCATCTGTTTACCATTACGAGACAACCTATTTATTAACTTTAGCAATCTTTATCTTATACATACTGCTTCGTTTGACAAAGATAGACTTATGCGAGATCATTATATCCATATTTCTCTTTCTTTGTTCCAAAATCCGCGCATTAGGTAAATAGGAAAGGCTTGATATACGGCAGTATAATAGGTAGGTATATGGTCTAATATTTCAATACACTCTTAAAAAAATGTACAATATTTCTTTGTTTTTGGGAATGTGTCCGATTCAATGGCAGTATTTTGCAATGTTGCCAAGTTCACCGTTTCCAAGATGCCGCATATAACTTGATTTGTTCAGAAGAAAGTCCCTCTCTATTTTGGTTGTAATTAATGCAGCGTTCCAACATCAATCCCCATCGGACTTGGTTTTTAAAATGTGGCAACACAGTTTTTTCGTCGGAATGTATGGAAACGGTCTTGTATTTCAAAACTTGTATGACGTCATCTAGGGAGCCTAAGCATAATGCAAATCACCCCAGATGACGTAATCTGTTTCTCATTACCAGACGGTTTCTGTTTAACACATTTGACAGATTTGTTTACTTTGCCATTCACGATACTTTTTTATCTCTTTCTAGTGTATTTCAAACGATAAAGATAAAAAGTAACATCATTTTTAATCCATTCCAAGGCCTACTATGATCTTTTAGAGAAAAATGGTACCTACTAAAATATATCTGTCTTTGTTTACGTGTTTAACGCATTTCACAGATTTGTTTACTTTGTCATTTGCGATACTCTTTTATGTCTTTCTAGTGTATTTCAAACGATAAAGATAAAAAGTATCATACATTTTGATCCTCTCCCATGCCTACTATGTTCTTTCAGAAAAAAATGGTACTTGTTTAACGCATTTGACAGATTTGTTTACTTTGTCATTTAGGATACTCTTTTATCTCTTTCTAGTGTATTTGGAACGATAAAGATAAAAAATATCATCAATATGGATCCATTCCAAGGCCTACTATAACATTTGGGAGAAAAATGGTACTAAAACATAAGGTCTGTTCCAACACGTCAGAAATCGTCCCATGAACGGTTAGGAAACCACTCTGTATACGAATTTCGAATTCTACGGACAAGATTTAGGCTTTGCGCAGAATCGTAACGGTACATTGTACGGTTTCCTGCTGTGTTGTAACAAAGCTATAATATGTCCTTGTTCAGACGACCTAGTAACTTTGAGAACTTTGTCAAATACCACCATTTGAATCGGGCATTTATGGTTTTGTGCGGCACTTGACATTTTTTTGACATTGGAGGTAAAATAATCTACAATATGACAATACAAAATGGTTTCTAATTGAAATATAATTCACCTCCTAGGATAGTATAGTGTAAACCAGGGTCGACGTTCCTGAAGTTAATGGGTAACTTGATGACTCATCTGGGGTGCCTTATGGAGATTTGCATTGTGTTGAGGCATCCCAGATGACGTCATAAAAGTTATCAAACAACCTACGTCACTCAAACAACCTTAAACCAGGGTTAAACCTAAACACCGAAAAATATCTAAAAAAACTAAAGTAGGCACGACACTTCAACTCCATATGAACATAACATGGGATAAGGTTAGGTTGTTTTACCTCCAGTGTTAATTTGTGACGTCACGTGCCTGAAACCAATTCCATACATGAGAACCCTGTACAGGCTGTCCCATTTTGATTGTACATGAGGGATAATTTGGTTGCTATTGGAATTGCGGTTTTCACAAATGTTGACTTATTTTTTTGTCACAAGAAAGATGCTGTTAACAGAGTACGATTTGTCTGAACCGGTTAGCGTTAGTGCGGTGCAGTTATGTTTTGGAACGCAGCCATCTAAACTACTACGGGAAAATGGAATGCTGAACGGTACGAATGGTGTAAAAAGTGCGACATTAATGATGGGTCAGAGTAAAAAGTGTCAATAGTTCAATCCAAGCGTTTGATAATATACAGGGTGCATCATTTGAAAAAAATGATGTTTGGTTCTGGTTCATAATTCAAAAACTGACTACGCTACTGGACTCTACGTAGAAAAATCTATCTGAACCTATTGTCACCTTCTGGATCACTTATGAAGAAACCTTGTATCTGAAAAACAAAAATTGCGATGACAATATCCTTCCCACAACTAAAATGGGACACCCTATACAAACAATAGGTACAAGAATTGTTGTAAATTCTTGTAGCAACAAAATGATACGAGAAATAAATTAAACAAATTTGATTGTTGCTGCAAATTTCTACAGGGTGTGCGAAACAAATAAATAAAAAACTTGGTGCTCTTAGATCATATAGAATCATGACTATAAGTTAGTGAGCGGTTTTATAAAATGTTGCTATTTCCCGCCATTGTTGCAATGAAGATGCAAGGATAATACACACTACTAAGGATTGCTTATCGGCCTCGTTTTTGGCAATCGTTGGTATGTCACTATTTCCGACGTCATTAACAAGTCGTCAGCAGTTAGCACTAGAGGTCTTAGTTTAGAATTTAAATTTATAATGAAAAATATTATTTAATTTTAATTAACATAATAAGCAAAGGGGAAGATGAAAACGAGATCTAGAAAAGAGTTGTTAAGGCGAGAAAGTACGTGCTGCCTACGTCACAACTGGTGATTTGGCGAGGTGGGAAGCTTCGAATTTGTTCCACACAGGACTTCCTGTAGTAGTAGTGTGTATTATCCTTGGTGAAGATGTCCCAAACATCTTAAAACTAATCATATAATTTTTGTTGTAGATATCATTGCAAACGTGACGTAAATTTATTGGATGTTATTTATTTAAGTTTAAACTTGACATAAATAAAAAATAGATGTGAATGTGATAATACTTATTATAACTACTGTATTGACTATTAACTATCAAAACTTTCTTTTTTTTTTCAAGTTGAATCTCAATAAATAATCGATTTTTAGGAGTTTTTAGTTTCAACTTGAAATGTATACTATTTTTATTATTTTTTAGGCTTTCAGTTGTTATTTGTGTTAATATTTTAATTATTTGTTAGTGTAATTGTAAATATAAAATAAACGATTACTATAAAAGAGTTTTTTTATAGGGCCGGTTTCTCAATAGCAAGTCACTCCCGGGTTAAGCATAACTCCAGGGTAAACATAGCACCTGGAAACGCTTACCTTGGGGTTAAAACCAACCCGGAGGTGACTGGGTCCTAATAATTCCAAGTTTAATTAATGAAAATTCGCTGTTGCTATAATGTAGCAACAATACCTGTATAGGCAACCAACACCGCACCAATTTTATCTCTCTCATTTTTCAAACTTCCACATAAAACTATCGCTCTTAACTACTCCTTGACACAAATGACATTTTCAAAACGATTATCTGTCATCTAGTAGTTAATCCCCCTAAAATCGCCAGGTAAAAAATCCCTAGGTGCAGCAAAACCCCTGAGAAAAGAAGTGAAAATGTTCGTCTAATAATGGCTTCTTGCTGATCAGCTAAATAAGGCGGTGGGCGGTCGAGAAAATTGTATTTTCCGCACGATAATAATCAGTCCCGAACCCGTACAGTCGAATCTTGTTGTAGTGTACAAAAATTCGGGTTTAGTGTCGCGCCTTGTGCCGTTAAAGACCCACACACACACATAAAGAATGGAACCAGCTTCAAAACAGAACTTTTATTGAGAAATTTGTTTATGGGTGAGTTTTTATTTGATTGAGAATGTTTCAGGTGAAAGTGTTGATGGGCTACTGGTCAAAATATTATTGGGACACTTGTTTATTCATTCAAAAATCTATTAATTCATAAGGTGTATTTAGTGTTCAAAAAATATTAGTGTTTGTATGCTACAAATGTTCATTTGCTTCTTGCACTACTTGAACTGAGTGTCAAATTTCATAATGAATTATGTTCAAAAACTGACTAGTGTTTTTATACTGCAAATTGTTCTAAAATCTTATGTTGTTGCTCTACTTGTACTGATACTGAGTACACTAAACACAAAAAGTACTGTTACATAAGGAACAAACCTTCGAATAAGTATAAACAATAAGGGATTTGTTCTGCTAAATTAAATTTATGCAATTTCTGAAAAAATATGAAGGCCACATTCATTAATTAAATTACTGTTGATCTTGTTCTGAGACAAATTGCACAATAAGGAGAATAATAATTATCAAATTAAAACAATTTGGATGCCTCCTACAAAGAAAGGAAGCTTTCAAAGAGCCTTAAATTAAGGTATAATAGAGTTTACTCGTGTCTATTAACAGGCTTGAAAAATGCATAATAAGCAAACAATGTTTGTGAAGGAATTTTGTAGTAACTGTATATAAGTAGGTACTAAATGGGAATTTTAAGTACCTAGAAGTACTTATTTGGTAGTGGTAGGTACTTTTAATAATATAAGTATAATTATTTTTTGATGCGGTTTCTTGACTGTTTTTTTTTGAAATAGTGGAAGTTTTCTTGGGAGTCAGTCAGGTTGAGAGAAAAAAAAAAAAATGAAACAATTTTTTTTTTTTTTTTTTTTTTTTTTTACGTTTCGGAATTTTCATTTAATTCCATCCTCAGAAATAGAAATAGCAAAGTCAAAATTGTAAAAGCACAGATGTTTTTACATTTTAAAACTTATAAATATTTTTTTTTTTGTATAATGACGAGGACGATGTTACATGTAACATCGTCCTCGTCATTATACAAAAAAAAAAAGGTATAATTATTGTTTTTGTGTGTAGCTAAGTAATTACAATTCATAATATTTCATAACAATGTGTTGTGAGCATACAGATAAACCTACAAATTTGTGTGTGTACCTATGCTCAAAATAAAACTTAGTATGTATTGGCTTGAGTTTTAGTCTCGGTTTTAGTAGTATAGTGTATTCTAGGTATAATAAGTTCACCTGCATTCCTTTTGGTAATGTCTGTATTTTTGTAGATTCTAAAGGTATTATCTCGGGTATTATATTTGGTAATGGTAATCACCAGCATCACTGAACAAGGTACTAGAGGAATAAAGTCTCATATTTTAAATAAAATTATTTTTATTATGGTTTTCTTGTATAACATTAACAGGTTTGAAAGCTTTTTTGGACCCCATAGGTACAACCAATCCGAAGGGTTACTCACATCATATTTAGGTGTATGGCTTTGCATCATATGTAAATACCGCGACCAAGGTGACACCTGACGCATCAACCTGTATCGATCATATTTTTGTAAGGAGAAGGGTCAAAATAACTAACCTTAATCTAAAGTCATTTGTACTAAACACTGACATTACGGATCATTTTCAAATTATGCTTAGAATAGAATAGAATAGAATAGAATAGAATAGTAGCTTTATTTCAAATTAAGTTTTTACAATACATATTACAGCATTACAAAATAACATGAAATGAAATGGCGTCACAAAACAATATACTTAAATTACATATCCAAGTAATCTTTCACACAATATGGTTCTATGTCTATTAACAATTTCTTGGTTTTATTTTTAAATTCCTTGTAGTTTTCTATTATTTTAAAGTCGTTTGGTAATTTATTAAATATTTTAATACAGTTATAAGATGGATTTTTTTCACTTAAAGTTAATCTATGAATAGGATAATAAATATCTGTGGTCCTTGTATTGTATGTGGTGTTAGTGTTATGTATTAAAAATTCATTTTTGTTTTTATGCAAATATAAGAGGCACTCGTGTATGTATAGACCATAAACTGTTAAAATACCCAACTCCCTGAATTTGCCTCTACAGGAGTCTCTGAAGCTCATGTTAAGCAATAACCTGATAGTTCGCTTTTGGACTACAAAGACTGATTGTGTTGAAGAACTGACTCCCCAGAAAATGATACCGTACCTCATCCGAGACTCAAAATTTGCATAGTAAAGGATTTTTTTAACTTTGTCTTCTACATATCTGTTTAGTACTCTGAGTGCAAAACAAACACCGTTCAATATTTTCACTAAACTTTCAATGTGTGTTGACCATTTTAGAAATTCATCAATTATAACACCTAAAAATTTAGTGTGCTCTGATATGTCAATTTCCTGATTATGGATACTTATTGCTGATGGTTTCTCTTTTAGTTTATTAGTGCGAAAAATCACAATGCTTGTCTTGCTCTCGTTTATAACTAGTTCATTTTTCTCAAACCAATCCTCTGCTCGAGAATATAGCTCATTGCTTTTTTCTTCCAAGTCATGCCGATCCACTCCGGCGACCAGCAGATTGGTGTCATCCGCATAATTTGTTATTGCAGACTCTTCCAATCCGCTGCACACCGAGCTCAGATCGTTTATCATGACCAGGAATAGTATCGGCCCTAGTATGCTCCCCTGGGGTACTCCCACCTGATTTTGCAGCCATCCTGATCTAGATGAGTTATTGTTCCTATGAATTTCCACACATTGCCAGCGATCTGATAAGTATGAGGTCAGCCAACTCAGAGCTCTTCCCTTTATACCATAATTTTTTAGCTTTTCTTTTAAATAGTTTCTGTTTAGGCAGTCAAAAGCCTTTGATAAGTCGATGAATAGCCCAGCAGCTAATTTATTTTCTTCAAGAAATTTGAGTATATTATATGTAAATTGAAAAATTGCTGTATTTGTCGATTTACCCTTTAGATATGCATGTTGTGATGAACTAACCAGATTACATTCATTAAAAAAACTTAACAGTCTAAGGGACATTGCCATTTCAAAGATTTTTGAAAAGCTATTTAGCAAACTTATGGGTCTGTAATTTTCTAATTTTTCTGGATCTCCTGACTTAAAAATCGGTTTTATGAGAGTTACCTTTAGCTGGTTAGGAAAAATGCCAAATTTGAATGAATTATTTTTAACATAACAAATAACTATCTTTATACTTGGAATGCTTAGTTTAACAATATTCACGGGAATTTCATCAATGCCACTACTTAGTTTATTTTTAAGTTTTTGAGATATTTCTATTATTTCTTCTGGGATAAAAGGTCTTATATATAAAGAAGCATTGTTTTTTATGTTGTCACAATTGAAATTTTTACTGTTCTTTATTAGATTTGGAATTAATTCGATTAGAAAGTTATTGTAATTATTGGCTATTGATTCAGGTGTCCCCCGGATTTGGCAGTTTGCATTTCTGGGAGAGTTGCCCTGAATGTCGTTGCATACTGTCCACATTGCTTTATTTTTATTATCTGATGATCTTATTTTGTTATTATAATGGTTTTTTCTCGATTCAACTAAGATTTTATCATAACTTTTTTTTTCAGCTTTGTACAATTCTTTAAAACTACTATCAGAATTGCTTAATCCTAACAATAAATCTAAATTTTGCTTACATGCTGCCAGTTCAGGGTTGCAATAAAACATCTTATTTTTCGATTTATGTCTTACAGTTTTTTTTGGAAAGTGCTCATTGAAAAGTTTTAAAAAAATTGAAGAAAAATTATCCCACTGACTATCTACATTGTGAGCCTCTATTTTATAAACTGATTCCCAGTTTTCCTGTCCTAGCTTATTTACAAACTCTAGTTTTGACTGTTCTGAATATGTTCTCACTAATTTACTTGGAATAGTTTTGTTGTTTTGTATGTTAAAAGAAATTTTTTGTGCAAAATGATCAGAAATATGATTTGAAATTATAAAACTATTTACATGGTACTTAATATTACTAAATATATTATCTATGCTGCTTTTTGTATTATTTGTTATCCTTGTGTACTCTTCTATATGTTTATGTAATGAGAAAGAATCAAGAAGTGATAAAAACTCTGTTTTATATTTATTGTCAGTCTTAAGTTCAATGTTGAAATCACCACCCAAGACAATTGTTTTATTCTCACCCTGTATACTATTTAAAAGTTTTTCTAACAGTTCTAAAAATGTTTCTTTGTTACCTTTACATGGCCTGTACATTGCTATTGCTATAAATACTTCTTTGTTGATGGAGCATTCTACTGCTGCACATTCCATTTCACCTTTTACTGAGAAGTCACTAATTTTTTTCCTTGGTTTATATTCAAGACTTGAATTCACAAAGACAGCTGCACCTCCATGTTCGTTTTCGTCCCTACACCATTGTGCTGCAAGATTAAAGTTTTGTATTGGTAGTAGTCTCAACTGCTCATCTGTTTTCCAGTGCTCTGTTACAAGAAAGAGCATACAATTGTTTTCTTTTTGCAAAAAATATTGGATTCTGTCCACAGCGTTGCCAAGAGACTGAACATTCTGATGGATAACACTTATGCTATGTTTTTCCTGTGGAAAAATGTTCTGTTTATTAATTTCAATTTTTTTGGTTTGTGGATGAACGTTTGGGCAATAGATTGAGCTATCTTGTATTTCTAAAAATTTCCTAAGGGCCTAGATTTTTTGTACACATTATAATTAAATCGTTTTATTCCTACATTTGCTGGCCAGAAATCTGGATTGTATAATTCATCCTTTCTGGTTAGGGGAGCAGTTACCACAAAACATTTCCAATTGTTTTTATTACTGTGAGTTATTTCTTTAACAGTAATATTTTCATCTTGAAAGTCTGGTTTCTTTCTAATATGGTTCAACACCATCGCTTCTGTGACATGTAACTGCACTCGGTTTATAAATAGCCATGCCTTTCTATCTTGTCCACTAAATCCTTTTTCTTGTCCATTCTCCTCTATTTTTCCTGTTCCCAGTCTCTTAGTATAACGTCGTCGACTTTTTACTTGTAC